AACGACATGGTCGTATAACAGTACGTTCCAGCATCGATTATGAAAAAGGTCTTCTCCTGGTCTGACTCTGCCATGGAGATCTGATGGTACCCATAAAATGCATCCAAAAAACTCAGTCGTTTATGACCAGATGTGGCATCCACCAAGTGATCTATTATGGGTAGAGGGTACGAGTCTTTTGGACATACCTTGTTAGTCCGGTATAATCTATACACACGCGCCATTTGCCATTTGACTTCTTCACCAGGATAACGTTTGCTAACCATTCGATATTGTACCTTTCTAATGAAACCTGCTTGCAGTAGCTTATCGACCTCGTCTTTCGCCGCAGCCGTCGCTCTGGGGCAAGGTTTCTTTTCTTTTGTTTTATTGGTTAAGCTCCTGGTAGAACACTAAGGCGATGTTGTGAAACAGAATGATCAATCCCTTGATATCGCTCGAGCACTATTCAAAAAGGTCAAAGTTGCTAGACAAACTCTTCGCAAATTCTTTTTTTTTTCCATTTGTGTTAGGTCTACCCCTTATTCACGCCCTGCAGGCACTAAAATTTTTTCCGTAGTACTGAGAGGCTCAATCCGTCCCCTTGTAAGCTCAAGATCTAGTATCATCACTCGTGTTAATTCTTTCGCCCACTAAAAATTTTTCGGTAGTATTGAGAGGCTCAATCCGTCCCCTTGTAAGCTCAAGATCTAGTATCATCATTGGTGTTAATTCCCAGGAGGGGGGTGGACACTGTTTTCAACTTTTCTAAAGGGATTTTCAACCCCACGAAAGCTTCCCAAGTGAGAACGTTTGCGGCAGTACCACCATCGACTAGCACCCTTTTGACATTGTAGTATGATATGCTGCCGACTATATAAAAAATCGTAAGAATTGTAGAATGGAAAAATTCATAAATAAGAGTTTAAATTCCCCCCATTTCAAATTTATGAATCTAAGGTTTTTAATTTCAAATGTCAGATTTTTTAAAATTTTATTTATAAATAAATTAATTAAATATATTAAGGTCACAATTCCATATAATTTGATCACAAATTATTTCTCGATTACATTAAAATTTTTTATAACTCACAAATTATTTCACAATCACAAATCGAAAATTTTATAGGTCACAACTTTTCCATTGGTCACAAATTTATAAAACTAATAAATCACATATTATTTATTGGTCACAAATCACAAATTTTATATATCACAAATTATTTTAACGTCAGAATTCAAAAAATTTATAGATCACAATTTGTTCATTGGTTACAAATCCAAAATCACAAATATTATAAGTCACAACTTATTATATAGTAAAAAATTATCAAATTATCGATCACAAATTAACAATTTTTTAGGTCACACATTATGTTTTGGTCACAATTTATCTTTTTCAACACAAATTATCATTTATCGATCACAAATTAACAATTTTTTAGGTCGCACATTATTTTTTTGGACTCAATTTATCTTTTTCATTGGTCGAATATTATTTATCAATCACAAATTAATCAATTTAATGATCACAAATAACGAAATATTCTGTGACCACCACCAACACTTGTAACTACTACCTCACGACTGCCACCAATAACATGGCAACCAAAACCCTGTCGCTGGAACCACCACCACCACCTCCCGACGAAAACCATCATCTACCGATATGACCACGACCACCACTACCCACCCACAACCACAACACCTCAACCAACACCACTAAAACCACATATCCTCCACCACCAACCCCCCTCCCATCCCATAACCCAATAAAAATTCCCAACCTTACCATCATCGTCATCGCGGACTAGCACCAATACTGTCACCATCTACACCACCCAACCACAATACACTATGGCACCAATCGAAAGCAGAGTCACCACTTTACCTCTCCACCGCCACAGCCTCCAATAAACTACCGCGTTCAACTTTAAAACCACCACCACAACCACTAACCGTTAGATCCACCATCGCCGCCGCTACCAAAACCAACAAATCCCATCATTGAATCCACCATTGATCCAACAAAATCACCACCACAGCCAAATCCACCACCGCTGCCACCAACAAAAACCATGGCCAAATCACAAAGCAACGCACAACATAGTATTATCGCACTGTTGCTGCTACCGCAATAGTGAATGTGAACCATCAGCCATAAATCACGACTCCACAACGTCCATAAACCACCACAAAACCGCAACTCCCCCGCAAAAATTGCAAAAAAAACTCAAAAATAAAAAAAATGCAGCGACGATTCACACGAATAAGCACCGCTACTTCGTGTTTGTGCACAACACCGTTGTAGCGGCACCTAGCCCAAAGGAGATCTATTGAGAGTGAGAAGAGAGAGTGACGAAGAAAAGAGAGAAGGAAGAAGAAATACAATACGACGTCGTCGGACGAGGCTGCACCGTCTCGTGGAGGCTGGGCTGCCGGCGGAGAGAGTGGAGAAGAGAGAAGGTAGAGAGAGTGACGGAGAGAAGAGAGAAGGTATAGAGAGTGAGAAGAGAGACTGAAGGAGGGAAGAGAGAAATGATGAAGAAAATTGGAATGAAATTTATTAGGGTTTGGGATGAAAATTGTACAATTAAAATTTAAAATAAAATATCTAATTTTTGAAAAGTGAAACCTTCAATCTGAATTTTGAAATTGAATCTTTAAATCCCGATTTTATGTAATTTCCACATTGTAGAATTTTGGCCCAAATATTAGCATTAGCCTAACTTTTGAATCTCAACCAAGTCCAATACTCAATTATTCAAATTGTATTAAAGACGCTACTATTATTAATTACTCTTTTCATGACCTCATGAATGTGAATATTTTATTGTCAAATTATGTATTCTATTTAATGCATATTTGACTAAATTTACTTATAATTATATTTATAAAGTAATCTATATATAAATATATTCTTGAAATCGAGCAAAAAATGGACGTGAATTAAATTTAATTTCTTTGACCCTCGAAATTCTTAGTTAATTTTTTTCACTTTAGTTGAGATTCTTCACTCACTTTGAAATGTGGTGAAATTAAATATCGATAAACACACCAAATAATATTTTGAGATAATAACATATAGATTATAGCGATATATTATCGATTACGTGTTTCGATCAATTTTTTAGTTGTTTGGAAAGATTGGTCGTCAAAGTTACTAGAAGAGTGGTCGTTAAGTAATTTTTTAAATTTTCATTGGTGGATTTATATTTTTGCTTAATTCTATTATGATTCGGTCAATTTATATTTTTTAAGGCAAGCGTCGATTTTCTATTAGATAAAAGAATACAAAGATTTAGTGGAATATCTTAAGGTGTGACATCTAAATTTTTTTATTTCATTTAGTTCCGTATACTTTTTATCGTGAATATCACGAGAATAGCCTCCAAAACTCGATTTCTTGTGACGTGAGTTCATTTTGAATTTTTTTAAATTTCAACCCACGCTAACATCATTTTCTGGCTCTGTCTTTGGTGGCAAATCTCCAATAGTGTTGAGGCCTTGAGGGCTTCCACGTCGTATGAATGGAGAGTTTTAAACAATTGATTTTCCTTTAAAGTTGCTTTCATTGACTGTAATGAGCGTCCAGGAAGACGAGAGCATATTACCAGATCTTCCAAGCTATCTTACACAGTACAAAAGTATCCAAATCAGTACATTTCTGTACAAAAAGTTTGATATCGTGTGAACAGTGAACATGAGAAATGAACCACGCAAGATCCCTACGACAAAATTGATCAATATTAAATTCTTAGGGAAGTTCTCCAAGAGAGAGGTGGGGTCTAATAATTTCCTAATTTATCAACTACCTCATGATTGGTACAATAATTGTACCACAAACTTGTGAACAATTAGGACGAAGTCATCTTTAAAATCGACTTATTAAAGTGAGAATATTCGAAGTGGTTGTAAATTTACAAGGCAAGCTTTTTATAAGCAATCATTGCAATCCAACCTCCTTAAGAGTCGTGGTCTGCAATGACTAATTGGATGAATCGATCGATTATACTGAGAATAGTAAGCTTCAAAGTTGCTACATCTGTAATGAGAGTTCCCGAGGCAAGTGTGTTCTCTAATTCCAATATTCCAAGCACTTGAATACAATTTGTCCCTAAAAAGTAAAATTGATTCGTAAGGTGATGGTGCTCAACATGCTTATAAACACGAGGCAAATCTTTTGACTTCCAGTATAAACGTAAATGTTAGGAATATTATCATCAGTATTCTAAAAAGTGCGCATAGAAGTTGACTAGGCGCAGGCAAAATATTTTGCCTTGGTAGTAAGCGTGAATTAAGCGGTCAAATGCTAAGTTGACCACTTAAGGAGCTCCTAGACGTGTCTAGACGCGCTTTATTAATTTTTATTTTATTTTTCCATTTTTTTAAAAACATTTTATTTCACTTAAGTTTAGTAACTTTTTTTTAAAAGGCATTTATTTAGTTTCAATTTTTTAAATGACTTTATCCAATAAAGATTTAGATAAAATTTAAGTTACGGTACTATCTATATTATATAATCGTGATTTTTGAAAATTATCGTTTTGTTGGAAATCTTGAAAGCATGTACAAAATTCTTATAAATTTGTTAAAAATATGAAAAATAGTCTAGATTTTTATTATTAAATAATTTTTAGATTGATTAAATATTTAAAATAATAATAAAAATGAGTAACACTTTTTTATGTCTAGGCCTCGCCAAGTCTCGTAAAGCTTTGATCACCACGATCAGCCACTCTTTATGGCTTTTAAAATATTAGCAATCATCAACGTTGTTACAACGGCATGCTATTTCCACCTCCAACCAAATCTATTCCTATTAAACTAATTCAAACACGTAAATATCCAAAGAATTATATATTCACGTGTTGCCATCATACGTGCCACCAAAATACTGTTAATCAATATCAAACATCAGCAGTGTGAATAAGACAGGAAACTAGACATCCTTAAATTGTATCTCCGCGTTCAGAGGGACATGTACGTTGAGAAAAGGCCCCCTTTTTTTTTTGCAAGCTATGGGGGTGAAAGCCAGTAAGATGAGCAGATTTGTGAGCGTACGCAGTGTGAAGCGCTTGAATGGACCTTCAACGGCACCACCAAGGGGGTATATTCCAGTTGCAGTTGGAGTGAATGATGAAATGAAGCGTTTTATGGTGCATACCACAGCTTTATATGATGCAGAATTCTTGGAGTTGCTGTGTAGATCAGCTGAGGAATATGGTTTCTGCAATGAAGGCATTCTCAGGATTCCTTATGATGCAAAGGCTTTCGAGGAACGGATAAGTAAAGGGCACACGCAGAAGATGGTTAAGGTTTGGCCAAAGTAGACTAGTCAATATTGTATAACAAGCACATCCTTGTCGTTTAGGGCATGTCCAATGTGTATCTCTTCTTCTTCAAGTCTGCATATATGTCTGCATCAAAGTAGTAGGCTGTACAATAGTAGGCCTTTGTAAATGGAAAGCATAATATATACATGGATTCTCGTACATATAGATGAATTTTTTTCGAACCATATCAATTAGAATATGTGCAGGTTACCACAATGATTCAGAAATCAACAAGAATCACACACACTTCCCTTCCAATAGGGATTCATAATTCATCCTGACATCACAAAGAAAAACTAAACCATAATCAATAAACACGAGTAATTAGAGAGTAGTCAAGCTGGAATCTGCACGTGTTAAAAAAAAAAAACCAATTGGTCTGCAGTCTAGGTATATCACCAGGAGAATTCAAGTCACAAAGCAAAATGGTTAAATATTCATCATAATTAACTGGATTCCAAATGATATCAACCATAAAAGTATCACTATGGGGGGCGGGTGCATACACCTGCAAGCCCTAAACTACTTACCTAAATATAGTTATTATACATGAGAAGATAATTGACAAAATAGGATATCCTTTAGCCTTTTTCATCAGTTTCATCATTCTAATTGAGCTTTCTTGATAGCTTCCTAGCTAATACCAAAAACATAAAGCAAGACCCCAACAACTTTTTAATTCTCAGCAACCTCTTGGTTGATTTCATCCACATGATCTCTAAGTACCTTCCACTGCAAATGAAAGATAAATAAGGGCCATCATAAACACAAAGTACAAAAAGTAAGGGAAATTTTCTGCCTTTTTTCCCCTCTCACGGGTGGGAGAAATCATGACTGGCGCATACCTGATCCATGGTTAGTGAAATACCTGAACAAAGTGCAAAAAGTATTGTGAATTTGGCTTCCATTAATTGTCGTACAATATTACTTTGATTTCAGTGATTGTAATAAATGACCATGCAACACATATAGTGAACCAGGTAACAGCGCAGGGATGAGGAAAGAGTGCACCTGTCAATAGTCATACAGATACTGAAATAATGACAGCACTTAAGTATCACTAGTTCAATGAAAGATCTTCCTTTGTGACATACAAACAAAAATAAAAAAAGGCCATGTAGGTCACACATTGTATTAGAATGAAAATTCATAGTAGGCAATACACTTCATAATTCATTCAAATGCAAAATAGCCCATGAGTTTTTGGGCCAAACATATTTAAGTCAATCTTGATCTATCATATACAGTTATAACATTTTGCCTCCACCCTCTACTGCTAAGAAAAGGGTATTAGCCACACACCACTGCAATTTCTTCCAAGCTCAAAACTGTCAAAAGAATTTCAATGCAAAATAAAATGCCTAATTAATAAGAAGGAAGAGAAAATCGATTTGCATAGCCATCATGTGCATGTTTACTAGCAATCTGATGGTTTATTCAGTTGCCAGCTAATGAAGCTGGAAGTCAACAGATTTCATAGTTTATATAATAACTGGGACAGGTATATATGATGCTAACAGGGAAGAGAGATGGGTGTATTTTAGCTGGGGGGCAGGAGTAGAAGGAAGGCTATTAGATGCTGATTTTTCATTAAGTATTGTACATATTTGGAAAATCTTGAAAGAAGTAACTTGTGAAGAACCATGGACTGGTGAAGGAAAAATAAGAAGATGTGCTAACTTCGCGTGCAAGTTCTCCAAATATTTCAGTTTTTGATGAACAAGTCACATTACTTATATTCCATTAATTTGGATGGACTGAGTGAAAGGAAAGACGCATTTTAGAAATTTGAAGATTGTGAGTGCTAGTAAGAACTGCTTAAAGGTCCACAATAATATATGCAATTAAACCCAGTAATAATCCTCAATCCTAATCCTCAATCTTGTGAAGCATAGCTGGCTAGCCAAGCCCTGTACTATTATAGATTTTAGAAGTGCCATATCTCAAAATCGAGCCGATGAAGTTGGAGAACCCAAGTCTATATCAACCACACATGGAAAGCTCATACTTTCGATGTGGGATTCAAGTCTCATAAATTGCAACGGAAACCAGGACAATCCACCACATTTTACAATCTCAGACTCTCAGCACCCACAACAGTAGGCTTTACACTAATCCCAGATGAACATTATTATGCCAGCATCACCTCCGTCCAATGGTTGCAAATGGGAGACGTCAGACGTGGTGACCTTCTCTAATACCATTATTATAGATTTTGAAGAGTTATATCTCAAAAGCTAGCTATTGAAGTTGGAGAACTCAAACCTATATAAAACCCACACTGATAGCCCATATTTTCAATGTAAAATCCCAAGTCCCATACCTCAATGAGAATCATGACATATACCCATCCAGTTGAATCAACATAAGAGGCGAGTACTAGAACTTTGACAAAGACAATGTTACAAGAAAATCTTATCTTAGCTGTATAAATGTAGAAGTCCTTTTGCTTATAAAGAGAAAACTTTGTCTCGTACCTTACTTTGTCTCTTTTTCTTTTCAAGTTAAGAATATAAGCTGCACTGTGTTTGGTGGTGTGAAAATTTTGGGCCCTTGAAATAGAATTCAATTCAAATTTAAAGATACTGAGTCTGAAGTCTAATTCCGAGGCACCAATTCCACAATAATAAAGGAAGCCTTACCTGTTCTTCCACTACGCTCTATCCGTTCTCTTATAGGTTACAAAACTTGTAGTCTTGTATCAAATTATTCATCAGAAGATATAAGCATGTTTCAAGTAGTGAATGATGACTCACGATTAGAAGTCATCCCTTAGACATATGTTTACTTGGTTTTTATACTAATGCTCATAATTGTCAATCAAAAGCATTAGAATCTCATTTTTCTTTACATAATACTTTTAGTTACCAAAAATGAGCATCAGTTTGTTGAGGCCACCATACAATAAACCAAACAAATCCATATAATTATAATAACAGTAGAAATATGACAAGATAACAGTAATGGCGATGGTGATGACTAGGGCTATCTTCTTAATTTGAGGGGGAAAAAATAAAACCTTTTTTGCCGGGCATTTCCTTGCCATCTTTATAATAGAACTCTCTAATATCAACCACAACCTTCCCATTCCAGTTTCTCACCGACACTTTTCGATTCTTGGAAAGCTGTAATTTCACAAAGTAAAAAATAAAAAATAAACCCTAAAAATACTATTTTTACACAAAGAATCACAAAGAACAAGCATTTATACCTCGCACACGACTATATTATCAGATTCATCAGAATCGTTATCGACCGCAGCGGCTGAAGGCTTAGATGACTTTTTCGGAGGCTCGTCACCTTCGGAGAGTGCCTCCTCTTCGTCCCTCTTCTTTCCCCTTTTCCACATTTCGCCTATCTATACATACATAGTAAAAATACAAATACATACCCATGAATTTAGTTTCAACAGTACACAAGACACAGAATACAGTATTATTTGTGTATAGACTATAGAGAGAAAGAGAAAGACCTTCAAATTCAATTGAGCGGCTGAGCCAGAAATGTGAGTGCGTCTGTGTTTGGTTTGTACTTGCACTTGGCATAAGAAGAGGTTTTTACAACTTTAGTTGTCTGTGGACTGTAAGAGCATCGGCTCCCGTTTGAGTCGAGCCGCGGGCGTGACTCGAGCAGCAATTTTCATTTTTTTTTAAAAGGGAAAAGTATTTCATTCATGAAGGCAAATAACCTTGAGAAAGGTTACAATAGTTTTTATCAATGAAAATTATATTTTCCATGAAAAAAGGGACACTATGCCACCAAAGTATCAAATTTTGAAGGGACCATGCATGCCGTACCAAGTAGTGAGCAGCTTGATTAGTAACTCGATTGCAGTGAGAGATGCTACAATGAGGGAATCGTAGCATTAACTCCTTTATTTCAGCTACAAGAGGACGGACTAATGCTGGGGTTAAATCTGGTTTGTTAATTTCATTTGCAAGAAACATACAGTCCGATAAGTTCGAAATCCTCATGTTGAGACATAATTGTAGGCCTCTCACAACTGCAGCCCCTTCGACGTGTTTAGGTTCTAGGATACATTTTTTAGGGCCACTAGGATACATTTTTCATTCACCATTATGATCTCGCAAGATAATACCAATTCCCCCCTTGTTAAAATCGAAAACAAAGCACCATCAACATTGAGCTTGAAGGCAAGTTTAGGTGGTGCGGTCCATCTATACTTTCGGGGCAGCACTCCAGGAGCAGTATTTTGAGAAATGGTCGGTTATGTAGCAAGTTTATTGGCTAAAGCTGTTGCGATTACTTGTTGTGATGGAATTGTAATCTGATTATGGACCATTTTATTTCGCCGATACCAAAATTCCCAAGTAATAAGCAGAAAATCCATGAGAGCATACTTTGATAGTGCTGTCAAAATACCCCTGTGAAGAATACCCATGTACTTGGGGCTTTATTCAACTAAAAAAGATGGAAAGAAAATAAGAAAATAAAAAATTGAAAAAATCACCCAACCGGACCGGCCTCGGGTTTACCCGTGGTATGCAGGAAAAATAAGGGGAAATTACAAAAAATCAGTTGTTTAAAGATTAGTTTTAAAAAATCAGGTCTACAATTTATTTATTCAAAAATCAGGTATATTATTTTAAATAGTAAACACTTAATCTATTCAAACCCTAACATAATTCATTTCTCTCTACTCTCTCCCAATCTATTCATCTCTCCACTCTCTCACTCGCCGCTTCCACCGCCACCGCCACCGTCAGCTTCTCCTGTCCTCTCCCTCCCCCTCCCACTGCAGCAGCGTCGCGATACTGCTGTCGACACTGCTGCGCGAATGGCGTCGCGATGCTTCCGGGGTGCAGCGGCGTCGTGATGTTGCGGCGTTGTCGTGACGTGCTGCACGAATAGGGAGGCTGGTGTCGGCTTCTTCTGCTCGTCGTCTCCCTGTGGGTACTGTTCGTCTCATTTGGGTACTGCAAAGACTTGGCGAGTTAGGTGCCGTCTGTGAGTTGATTCAATTTCATGGGTCGTCGATTAGATGCAGTCGGTGAAATTTCTGGGTCACTGTCGGACGGAGAGTTTGGGGTTGTTGGTTGAGTGTGGCTGTCGATTGGTGTGGTAGAGTGGTC